GGATTTTTCCCTGGGACAAATCTCGTGAAACGGCTCGTGGAGACAAGGCCTGAGATCAACTCCAAAGCTCAAAAAAGCTCTCGAAGCGGAGGCCGTAATGTTGAGATATCCCACGCTACCCTGCGAGTCCACCTCTACATCATGACAGAATCTCTATGCTACGATAGGGAGTCAAATTCACTAACAGGGTTGCCGCATTGTTTGGGTGCTCCGGAAAAATACGGCAACTCTGCTACTTTATTTGCTAATTTAGAAAATGAAATTCCCTGACATTTCCCTGATTTCCCTCACACATTTGGGTGAAATTCCCTGACAATTAAAGATGTATGCCAGATGATTTAAAAGACATACTTTGAAATAGTTTCCACGCAAAATCTGTTGGTTGAATTGTCAAACCCTTCTGGAAAGCAAGTAAGGGTGACCTAACAATGTTTCCTTGACACTTCCGTTAAACTTTCCCTGACATTTCCCAGTTTTCCCTGACCGTGGCAACCCTACAGGAGTCAATAGGACCCTGAAAAAAAATTCAATAAGGTTTTATGATAGAAAAAATTGTCCTTCTCGGAATACCCATCAATTTATGGTTCTATTTATGAAAGCTGATAGTCTTGCGAGTCTTTCCAAATATGCCCTATCAGTGATTTCCCATTTAGCATAGTAGCATATACTGCCGGGCCACGGAAAAACGCCATATGAGCCTTCAGGCATTGCCACATTTCCTTTGGTAAATCACGAATTTTCGAGAAAACCTGCGAATATTTTTTCTCCAATTTTTTCGGATAATTTTGTTGGCAATTTCACCTGGAGTTCCAAAAAATTTCGAGGAAAAATATTCATAACTTCCTTCAAAACAACTATTTTCTCAGGAGAAATTTGGCAACTCTCGGACATTCATACGGCGTTTTTCCTTAGCACTGCAGAGTAGCGTATAGCTGTCCCCATTTACGGTGTGAATCCACCGCGATAATTTGCTATTAACATGCAAATTTTTTTAAGCGCCAGCCTTCGATGTTGGTCCTAATTTGACCTGTTTGCATTGTGTTGTGTTTAGGAGTGACACTCGAAGTCGGCCCATTGTTTTTTCGGTGGCTCTGCGGCGCAAAGTGCTTGCTCATAGGATCGTTTATCCGGGTAAACCCAGTGGCGTGGCGTGAATAATCGATTATCGATATCTCGCCATTTGAAGCTATAGTAAAGAATCGATTACTAAGGTGTTCGCTGCGAACACCCTGATAATCGATCTTTTTTCATAGGTTTAAATGGCATAACAATCGATATATCGCAAAGCACGCCACGCCACTGGGTAAACCGTACGAGCGGAGCGTTCCGTTCATTAAACGACCGCTTCAGCTGGAATCAACTTTTTCGTTCCTTCTCACTTTTTTCTGACGTTTAGTGCTTGGTCAATTTACTCGAGCAGTCGACCGTTGATGCACGACCGTTACCATTCAATATTCGGGGTGAAGCCTTCTTCATTTAGACGACCGAAATTAAAATATCGGGGTGTTTTCAAGATTCACGGGTGTCGTGTCCAACATTTAAATGTCCAAAACAAACGAAAAAAATCATTTTTCCCCTTTTCTTTCTCGAATCTCGGCCATCATCGGTACACGGACTTTATGTCCACTTGTTTTACGTCCACAGACTTTTCGTCTACAATTTTTACGTCCACAGTTCTAAAGCCCAAGTCCATTATTTAAACGTCCACTAAGTAAAGTCCACAAATGTAAAGTCCACTAAAATCAAATTCAATCGTCATATTTTAGTCCGTGTGTAAAATTATATTGACAATATGGAAATGAGAAAATTAAAAGAGAATGGGGTGTTGTTATCGTAACTCATATTTTAAACGAAATGTTAATTTCTTCTTTTGATTCATCTTTTCAAATTATCTTTGGTAAATACTAGGTTTCGTTTCTATCCTAGAAATTTCCGATATAAAATATGCCTTAAATGTACATTCTTTTTTTTTTAATGAAATTGATTACTTCATTTTAAAAACATTTACATTTTTAAAACGTCGTAAATATTTGTAAAACCTTTTCCAAGCAATGGTATCGATATGAATCTCAATGAGCTGTAGTTGGGATGAAAGAAACTATACAAAAATTAATAAAAGAGGAAAAAAACTAAGAAGCACGCATTTTTTTGTTTTTAACTTATTTGTACATCGACCTCCTTTAGTCAAATACGTCCAATTTTGAGCGTTTGGTTGCGCTTAAACCACGCTGCAGCACAGCAAAAGCCCAAAACATAAAAGAATAAATTTGAATGCTTTGGAAATCATTAAATTTGACACGGAACCACTATTATATTTACAAAAAACACATTATAATTTTCAGTAGTACATATTTCTATTTCATCAGTTTACAAGGGAATAATCAATGCAGAGAGTGCAAACATTTCAAAATCATGAGTTGAAAAACGCTGACTCCGCGAGTTTAAATATTAGACCATAATACAGAGCGGAGCGGCGCGTGATAGCAGCGCAGAACGCGCACTGGCGCCTACAAACCTAACGGGATACTTCACGCATTGCGCAACGCGTGAAGTATCCCGTTAGGTTTGTAGGCGCCTGTAGGCGCGTTTCACGCTGGTTGCCTGCAGCGCCGCAACGCTTTGAGCAACTATTTCGCGTCAGAGGCGTTGCACAGAATCCTACAAAATTGAAGGCGCACTAAATAACTAGTTAAGGAGGACTTTCAATTTTGACTGCATCTGTTACTGAAAAATGCTTAATTTGGCATTGGAGCGTTTCCTAGGCTCCCGCTTTGGTTTTCATCTTATCATATCCGTACAGTGTACCATGAACATATGTTTTTATCTGCTCTTAGAGTCTGTTCTCTTTCATGACTTGATTCATGAATGAAATGTTTTTAAGAATGAAAGGTAGTAGTAGTATGCATTTATTTTTGAGGTGGTTCCTGTCATTTAAATGAGAAGAAAAAAATGTGGACAAAACATGTCCACAATTTGGACAATTTTGGACATATTCATGGTTGGACATTAAATCATGTGGACTTAATAAAGACTGGACTTAACGTTTAGTGGACATTAATAGCGGTGGACATTTATTTAATGGACGAAAGGTAGGTGGGCATAAAGTCCTGGAAGCGGGACGATATTACATCCAGATTGAGCTACTTCTTCCAAGTCGCAGAGTTTACCTTAAGTTCACGTTCCGGGTTCCACATTGGCGGATCCAGTAAATTGGCAACATTGTTTTTCTCCATTTAAACCTGTGGAAATGTATCGATTCTTAGAGGGGCCAGGTGCTTTGACAAGAATCGATTATTTAACAAAGGTTTATAGGGAGGGAATCCGGTGTTGCAAAATTGCTGGCTACGCGTCTGGGGTTCCACCGGTCAGTTCGAATACATCGTTCGACTCATCAGGGGAATAAGAAATGTCCACGTGAATAAAGGCATTACTATCACATGACACAAAAAAGCACTCTTGTTGAAAGAGCTAAGCAACCTCCGAAACGATAACAAGAGGCACAAATGCCGTGCTTCGCGGGAAAATACATGTTATGAAAATCAACAGTGAAGCAACCAAACTTAAAAACACGAATACGGAAGCGCAAAAAAAAAACAAAGAAAAAAAGAGGCTTCCTGATAGAGTAACTCGTGGAGTCGGTGACATTTCACTGATAACCGCCGTTCTCGCAAGGGATAATTTGGCTGCGGGACATTCGGTTGGCATCGCATCGGTCACTGACCTTTTCGCAACAAATGATAGGGAAAGGGCTGAGAAGTGATAAAGGCTAAAGCAGAGGTGGCATTGCCAAGATTAGAGGTCCTACGAGGAACATTAAGCATGAGGTGAAAGCACGCACGCTAAAAGGAAATGGCGTTTTTCGCCACCAGACCTTTGCGAGCGCGCAAATATTCTACCGTGCTAAGAAAAACCGCTGTAAGAAAATTCGAGAGTTGCCAAATTTCCTCCGATACAATGTTACTTTTTGCGGAAAGTTATATACATATTTTGCCTTGACACTTTTAGACTATTCAGATCAAATGGATTGCATTTTGCAAAAAGGAACCAGAAGCATTGCAATGGTGCTAAGATTTTGCAAATTCATCCTTTGCAGTAAAATAGCTGAAATCATGAAAAAATATGAAATTTACATGGTCATTTTTGTCTTAGATTCACAGTTTTCAGCGAGCAAAATAGAAACTGTCAATAGGTTCGTTATCCAAGACAAAAGAAGTTGCACAATCTTAGCAACATTGCAATGCTCGTGGTTCCTTTTTGCAAAATGCAATCCAAATTACGAACGATATTTTCTGAAAAATCGGAAGAAGAATGTTTATAAATATTCCCGAAAATTCGTGATTTATCAATAGAAATTTGGCAACATCTAAAGGCTCATACGGCGGTTTTCCTTAGCACGGCAGTATTCTACCGTGCTAAGAAAAATCTCTGTATGAGCCACCAGACGTTGCCAAATCTCTACTATGATGAATTTTCAGGAAAATGTGTGTTACAATATTCTTCTTTCACTTTTTCAGAGAATTTCATTTGCAATTCAGGTGATCTTGAGTAGTTGAATTAAAAGGGAAACTTACTCATAACATTTCTCAAAATTTATTTTTATCGGAGAAATTTGACAACGATTAAGCAGAGCACTTAGTGTTGCGTGACTATTCAAATTTTAAAATTGCGTTATTTTGTCTTTTCTCGACGATGAACGATGAAAAGTTGCGGTGTTCTGATTGGATTTACATTGTGCATACAACGAGGATTTGGCTGTGCGTAACGGGGGAAGAGGGGGGGGGGGGGGGGGGGGGTCAGTTGAAGGATCGGGAGACGTGCGTTACGCAATATATGAGAGTACTGAAACCATAGCATACATTGTATCTTTTCCCTGGGTCTTCGTGGCCGATGGTTTTTAACTACCGAAAAGTGTATTAAAAAGCAAAAAAAAGAGAATATAATGCAATCTGAAAATAGTTTCTGCTTTGACAGTACACGGGAAGACGAGAAAAAGTTCTTACCTAAAGCTTGACATTGTAAGATTTTCGTTCGTCCTTCAATGACAATATTACTAGATGAGGAGGGTTGCGTGATAAACCTAGGAGCTTGTAAAGGATCTGAAAAAAAAAGCAAAAACGAACAGTGTTAAATTATAAGGGATATCATTACATTCTTTTAATCATATGAAAATATAAAAATTGAGAGTTGAAGGTAACGGATACCTCTGCAATGAAGTTACAAGTTATGTCACAAATAGCTGAAAATGTATGGTCATAACAAACTTCTACGGAAGTTCGTAAAAGATAAAACTTCCGGGAGTAGACATGACAGAAACGGAATAGATCGACTGTTCAAAAAGCAGAGCATGAGACTGGACATGAAATGCTGCTGAGTAAGGCTACTTCTGCTTAAACCTGTCCAATTAATCTGAGGTAGGATAGAACACGTTCGTCTTTCATTACAAGTCGTGGCTACTGTAAAACACCTTTTGACATTGTCCATGGGGTGCACTCCCGATGGTCTAGAAGTTTGAGACGCTCAGCATGACGAGAAGAGAGTAGTTATAGAGCATACTGCCGTACTCAGGAAGGACGCCGTATGAACATTCGGGAGTTGCAAAATTTCCATGAATAAAATGTGTCTTTACGAAGGAAGTAATGCATATTTTTTCTTGAAATTTGCGGATATTTTGGATTTTATTGCGAACAATATTGCCTAAAAAATGGAGGAAAAATATTCAGAATTTTCCAAGTAAATTTGGTTTTTCATTGAGGGGGAAATATGACAACGCCTGGATGCTCATATGACGTTCTTCCTTAGCACGGCAGTGTAAGCGGTCCAACTTGCATCGCGGTAATTGTCGGTTTTCGAGGATGCCGAATTACACGTTATCAGATGTAGGTTCCGAGGTAGTCACAACGAAATGTTGCAGAAGCTTTTGGAGGAGCGGCAACACCAAAACGCCTGACTGTGACGGCTACCGGAATGAAAAGAGCAATCATCAGAACCGAGTTTGACGGAAAAATGATTCGGAAAATGAGAACGGAAAACCGTCGCTAATCTGGATCCAATCTCAACGGCGGCATCTTCTCATTTTGGTGCTCTGGACGCGGACGACGCACAATGGAACAAGCCTTCGGGCGAGCTGGACATCAGGGTGTCTACTAAAACAGGCTGGCCAAAAGTCAGTACTTTAACAGCACTTCTTCAGTACATTCGCAAAAATTCAGTACCTCCTTAACAGAAAAATCCAGAAATTTTTCAGTACCTTCATTTGGCGAAATTCGAATAATTTCAAAAATTTGATTTCTTCGCTTAAATTGCGACAAAAATGACAAAAATTCCGGACCTTCTTGCAGAATTTCCGCACTTTTTCAGTACTTTCGGATCGCTCTTGAAAAATCATAAAAAATTTCCGAAATTTCCGGAAATTCCGGACTTGTAGACACCCTGGACATGATATTTTTTTAGAAAAACTGCGCAGATCTCCACGCTTATTTTATCATAATAGTAAATTTTAAGTTGTGCTTATAGCTGAAAGCAATTTTGGGAGAAAATTGACGAAACTACTTTTAAAGTTTTACGTTTTGTACTGACGAAGCTAAAAGCTTCAAAAGTTGCCGCATAAACTTCGACGTCTCGCGTCGACTCGCTCCACTGCGCGACGACGCGACGCCGCGGGGTGGATCTTCCACGACCATTGTTGTCTGCTTGAAACATCGAGTGATGAAGCATGAACGTTCAGATCAGTGGTACCTTCTTTCTAGCCTTAAGTTAAAATGTAAGGTTCTCAGGGCCAGGTGTCTACCAGTTATAAAACACCAAAATTGGGGGCTTTCGGGGGAGTTTTTTTTTTTAAAAAAAATTGGGGACTCTTTTCCCCGAAATAGTAAGAGAAAGGGAGCTAGTTAGAGCGTTAAAAGACGTATTTTATACGACTAATTTTACAGGTCATGTTGAACCGACGAAAACATACGAAAAACCAAGCAACACTTCAGTTTTTTTTATTCCTGGTGCTGATGGGAAAATTTAAAAATGCCGGTGTTTAGGACGATTTTTGTCATTTTTGGGGACCTGAACGAAAAAATTGGCGACTTACGGGGATATCGGGGACACGCTTTCGGGGAATTTTGGGGACCGGTAGGCACCCAGTATTCACTTCTGGTAAACGCTAACACATGAAATTCCCTGACTACCTCCGGTCGCTACAAAATTCCCTAACTTTCCTGGTTGTCCGGACCGCCGCGCCGGCAACCCTGAACGGGGCAACGCTACACACGGGCGCGATGACCAGCCAGCACCGGTCGGAGCTTCGGGGAAGCCTCACTCCCGAGTCCTGACTCGTCAACAAAGAGACCAACAAACCGACGCTCAAGTGCGCCGACAATAACGAGCCCCCGGCCCAGGGTTGCCGCCCGCCACAGGAAACCCCACTCCCCCCCCCCCCCCCCCCC